ATAAGGACTGTTGAGTAGAGATTCCCCAAGAGACAACATCTTTAACTAAGATTTAACAAAAATTCCGGGTCTGTAAAAGGATTGGTAATTTACTAGACACCTTCCTGTAAGGATGTGAGTTGAAGACAGAATCAAAGTGCCTCCTTTACATGTCTGGAGGAAGCAATCGACTAAACTACAATGACTTTAAATTAAGATACAAAATTGGAAATGGTAATGTATTTTTGAAGCACTAATGAAATAATCATGACATAATGCCCATGGCAATGAAAGGGTAAGCTACATTATGGGTTGAAAAATAGAAAATTATAGAGCACAAATGTGTTAGTGTGGCAGTGTGCCATCTCTAGCATCACCCAGAGAAGAACAGAGAACAGTGGGATTCTGAGGGGGTCCCAGAATGAACCGTGATGAAGTCCAGCCTGTACCAACTACCAACCTTCTCCTTCCCACCTTATTAAAGTGATTATTTAAGCACAACCTACCTTAAAAAGAAAGATTGGTACTTCACATATATTCTAGTATTTAAATTCATCCACACATCAAGAATTGGAAGACAATCATCATTTACATGAGGCCTACAGTAACAATGTTTTGGCTCCAGGCTCCCTCTGCTGTCTTTGAAATAATAAACAAACATTTTATGGCACCCTCCTGACTAGATTCCAGTATTTATGAAAGTCAAAACAAGCACAATCTTGTACAATAATAAAGGATATCCTTAATATGATAGGAAGTTTTAATATTTGGAGAAAGTTGAAAAAATATATAAACTAATGAAATATTTATATAGCTAGAACCATATGAAGTTGCCATTATTTGACTATCTCTTATTCACAAATGGCAATTTCATATGGTTCGACCTAATATATGAAAATGTACTTGTCACAGAACGGTTTTGTGTGTGTGTGTGTGTGCACGTGCTGCAGGGTTATTACTTTTAATACGTTATCTCTATTAAGAAATTCCCTAGATGAATTGGTCAATTTACATGATGTTTCTTGATTAAAACTAACTACGATGTTAAGTCCACTGCCTAATAGGAATGTGTGTATTATAACTTGGATTTAGAAGAAAAAAATCTGTCTTCAGGTTAAGTGTGAAGACACAAAATGTTTCACACAAGAAGGTAAAAGAAAGAAGTGTAGAAAAGCCACATGTTGACAAGAGGAAAGCTGGAAATAAAATAGTTAACATTGCAACTGTGAGAGGAGGAAGTAGAGCAATTTGCATAGACTTCAAACAATCTCACACTGTTGAGAAAACCAGCAAATCCTGGAAAGAATTAGCAGTAAAAGCCAAAGTCAATATACTTCAAATACCCTTGGTGTTTTACAGTAACTAACAAGAAAGCATCTTCTGAGTAAGTTCACACTTTGCACAAAATAAATATTAATTCCGTTGGTAGTTTTCCAAAAAGTTAATATTTTACAGTTCAGAAATTTAATGTCTTAAGTTTGCCTTTGAAGCCCAAAGAATGGCTTTTGAAGTTATGTTTTCATAGTCCTAAGAATTCAATCTAAGAATGAACAATGTCATCAAAGATTTGTTTACAAAGATGTTCATCAAAAACTTTTTTTTATAGTTACCATTCATCAATTAAGTCTTATATCTATAGTACAGTGTCTAGTATATAGTAAGCACTCAACAAATATGTCTGAAACAGTAAATTACAGGAGAAAAATTTGAAATGTCCAAATTCAAGACTGGTTGAATAAATTTGTGATAAATTGTAATTTATACATATGATATTATATGACCATTAAAAATGTTTTGAGACTTAAAAACACTGGGGAAATGTTCAAGAGATAATGTTAAGCCAAAAGAGATGCTAGCAATTGTCTACCATCTAATACAAATTTTATAAAGGAAATATGCATGTGCTCACAAAAAGGCTAGAAGGAAAAATAGCATTATTGACTGAGGTTATTACTAGGTAGTAGAAATCTGGATAGTAGTACTACTGGAGAGTAGAATTCTGGCATTTTTTTCTTTGTGTTTCTCTGTATATTGCAAATTGTTTATCATGAATATATACTAGTTTTATAATCAGAAAAACACTAAATGCTATTTAAACATTTTTAATATAATGCTCTGCTTACATTCAGATCTGTAATAAAAATTTGCCCATTAAAAATCAGGGAGTTTTGGACCTTGAACAATTATAATGCTATAAGAAAGTGATTGGCAGTAGTGGGAAATTGTCAGGGGAGGGGGGGTGGGATTGGCAGTTGAGGGAAACTCTAGGGGAGGGAGGGGCATACCTCATCAACAAAGGTAACGGCATGATCAATGTTTATATACCTAACTCTGAAATGTACCCCACATCTTTATAATAAAAATTTAAAAAATAAAAAAACAGGGAGTTTAATAAAAAGTAGTTGTGTGAGGTGATTCAATATTTGTATGAGTGTTTGGTTCTTCCTCTTTACTTTGTTAGAAAAAATTCTCACTAGATGCTTTTGGTAATTTATTCAGTGGTGTGAATGCACAGGCCAGAATAAACTGCTTTACTTTTAAGTATTACACCAATAACTAATAACAACTTCTGTACAAAAGTTATAAAGATAGGTGAATTATTTCTCAAGTGATACAAATAAAGATGAAACATAATGTCTTTTTTTTAATGAGGGAGAAGTAAAATAATCATCACAGGTTCAAATAGTCACTGGGCCAGGCACGTTACCTAAGTGACCTTTAATCTGTTACAGCAACTCTGAAAGTAGGTACTTTTATTCACATATACAATATTGCAGTAGAAGTAATAATAATATATAGGAGTTATTGATGAATTGTCATGTGTCTGGCTGTGTAAGAGGCTTTTCTTAATTTCTTTCATTCCACATTCTGAGCCACAGGGGCAAGTAAGTGTGTATATTGCACTTTGCACTTGAAGTCCTTAAGGTCCAAGGTGGAAGCCAGATAGGTCTAACCACTCTCCCACATGGAGAAAATACTTTTATTTATTCTCCAAGGTCATTAATCTGCTTTTGCCCCTTCTTTCAGGAACAAAAAGTAAATATTAAGTACATTGCATTCTACAAATGAACTTGAGCTCTTCTGTTGACAAGAGTAGAAAGAGAAAGTTTAATTAGTTAGAATTGATTTTTTCTAACACTCCCTTGTAATTTGAAGTCAATTATTACCCATTCATCAGTACCAAGAAAAATCCAACAAAACTAATGTTTTCAAAGATGTTGATCAAGAAATATAATAAATTTTTCTTTGTCCTGTTTGAATGAAAAGTCTAACTTAAGATATCTACATAAAAGTGTTCCTGATATAGAGGAAGTAGCGGTTTGCCATGTTCTTATCTAACTAGAGATGTATTTGTCAATGACTCCATTGAGTTCTTTTTTAAAAACTACTATTCTAGGTTTTTTTCCTTTGCCTCCTTCCTATTATCCAGGGTTCACAGGAGATTTAGAGGATGAATGTGTACAGATGATTAAAATAATTTAAAAAGAACCAAGTCTCTCTATACTTTTGGTTCCTGAAACGGTCCAGCTGGTTCTGCTTTTATTATAATAATGATACAATTTGTCATTTATTAAGCATCTCCTACATGTCAGAGCTTTATTTTTTTATATATCATTTTAAGTTCACAACCTACCAAGGTGTACACCCTCAGAGAGGACCTAACCCCAGAGATTAGATAGGGATTATACCTCATGTCATGTGGTTACTATGTGAAATTCGAATCCAGATTTGATTCCGACAAACCGGCTTTCTTAAAAACACGTTGCCTAGCAACAAATCGATTCTGGTGACTTCCTGCATCCCAAGCGGAGAAAAATAACCAATTCCTTCCTAAAAGTCAAGGTTGAGAGACAATTAGAATCTTCTAACAGAAACTCGCTTCTGTGACCAAAGCAGTTCTTTTCAGCGGTAATACCTTCCATGGGCCGGCGAGCTGAGTAGCAGCAGCCTCAGTGCTACAGGGAGCCTGGATGTAGCCCGGCTGGGAAACGCGGGTCTCTCGTTCTAATCATTTGAATCTGATTTCTAGGAATACTGGAGTCTAGAGAAACCCATATCTTCTTGGACGACCTCAGATGGGGGATCAAGTCGTGAAGAAGACACTCCCTCCTCCACAACCAGGAGCACCCACCTCTCCCAACCCAAGATTTCTTTTACTCCACAAGTTTAAAACACGAACGAGGCCACCCCGCCCCATTCCCTCTCCCCAGCTTAGAATCGGGTCTGGACACCGACATTCCAATCTCGCTTCCTTCTTCGGCCCTTCTCAAAGTATCCGGTGCACGTGAACATGTCCATCCAACGGTGTGTGCGCCCAATTCGGGGAGCGGCGGGAACCCCCAGGACCGTGGGGCTTTCCTTCACCCAGCCGCTTGCTTTGCCCCTCGGAGGTGTTCCAAGCCTGTCCGGCACCAGCCCCAACCTGCCCTGGTCTCTCAGCCCCGCCCCGCCCCGCCCCGCCCTCTCAGCCCCGCCCCCTCAGCC